TCCCCGGGGCGCTGCCAGGGTGTCTGAGGGCGGCGCCTGGGGTGGTGGGCGGTGGGCGGTGGGCGGTGCCGGGGCCTGGGCGGGTCTGACCTGGGCGGAAGGCAAGCGGGTAATGGCGGCGGCTGTGGAGCCTGGCAATGGCGGTGGCGTTTTCCTGGGGGTTGAGGGTCAGGGGTCAGGGGCCTGGCGGTACCCGGCTGTGCCCTGCTGTGCCCTGCTGTGCCCCGCAGAGTTCCCTCAGTAACCTGGGCGACTCCGCTGGGCGTCTCACCTGCGTAATGTTTGAGTTAGAGGCCTAGAGGGACGGGCGTCGTGGTAATGGTGGTCAGGTAAGAAGAGGCTCCTGTGAATACTGTCCAGTGGGACCCTCTCAGTAGAGGCAGGGCTTCTGGGACGAGGCTTCATTTGAATGGCAGCTTTCCTCAGTGACGTCAGTGTCTAGACTAACATATCTTCATAAGGATTGTCAGGCATTGTGTTCATTGGTCCTTTGGGTCCTGAGTCCATCAGCAATAGAGGAGACTGCACTGTACGGTCTCTAGTGCATTTTAAATTTTCAGTAGTATTTGCAGTGTCTGGGGATTTTCTATTGCTCCTTTTTATCATAATTTGTTTTCATTTTATAAGTCAATGGTCTTCCTTATAATTCTGAGAATATGAATTTGAACTTTTTTTTGTAAAGTTTTGTTCGCTATATTATATCTGTTTTTTTCCCCCTCCAGAATTAGCTTTTTGATTTATCATGATCTCCTCTTCAGTCCCTGAAATATTTGGCCCAACTTTGTCCATTCATATCTGGGAATCAATGACGACTTGGATTTGTCCTAGGGAATGAGCATGACTCTGATCCATAGTCGTTAAATCTTGTAAGGCCCACTTCACTAACAGACTTCTCTTCTCCTTTGGGGATGCATGGCATGGAGGTTGCAGGTGGGCTAGGGATCATCTCAATTCCAAAATTTGGGCATATCCAACATTAGAAAGCTTTAGTGGATCTGTCTTCTAGGTAATATGTGCTTTTATTTTGTGTCCCTTCTGTGCAGTTCCTCAGTTGTCTCAAGCTCTAGTGTTACTTGGGTTTTCTTTCAAGTCAAAGAATTCAGGGTCCTTGCAGTGTAGCCAAATGCTATTGGTGCTCATTACCCACTTTAACACATTTGGGTGAGGGTTATAGCAAGGCAGGGGAAGCAGGTCTGCTGTTTAGAGAGTAATTCTTTTTTTAAAGACTTTTTTTTTAATTGTAGATGGGCACAATACCTTTATTTTATTTATTTATGTGGTGGTGAGGATCGAACCCAGTGTCTCTCACATGCAAGAGAAGTGCTCTACCACTGAGCTACAACCCCAGCCCTAGAGAGTAATTCTTTAATCTCACAGTTGACCTAGGTCTTCAATCTTATTGACTCTCCCTTAAATTTTCTCTGAATGTGCTTCAGTTAGTTTTCTGTTGCAAGGGTTTCATTTTTTTTTTTGAACAAAGCAATGTGATGATATCTCCTTTTCCATCTTCTTAGAATTCCTAACAAGTTTTGGTAATGGTAAGGGTATTCTTGTGTGTGCCTGCATGTGTGTGTGTGTAGATACTTTTTGTGTGTTTAGTTACTACCATGATTCCATTAGCATTTTTTAAATTTCTAAAAATGCAGGCTGGGTGTACACTTTAGTTTCAAGTTCCTACCTTGTGTGTATGAGGCTCTGGGTTCAATCCACAGTACTGTAATCATTTTTTTCTAAAAATTCAGATAATTTTCTCAATAGTTAATATATTTACATGATTCAAAAGTGATACAGCCCTCCTCTCTAGAGGCAACCAGTAATTGCTTGTTAAGATCACAAAGTGAAAGACTAAAAAAGAAATAATATTCAAGTCATAGATGAAATGAACTACAAAAAGCTAAGTGATAAACACCCAAATCAAGCAGAAGGAAGGAAGGAAGGAAGGAAGGAACTGGTGTTTAAAAGGAGAATGCAGTGAATTAGAGGGGGTGGGAGGGAGAAAAGCAAAATTGCTGATATTAAAAAAAAAGATAACTCTCAAGACAACTTGGTTAGGAAAAAAGACACAAATTACCAATAGGAATAGTAGTGAAAGAGAAGGCATTACTACAGATTAAAAAAGAATAATACTTCTATGTAGTAATTGGGTATATATTCACTCCTAAAAATTGGGGTTCTCTTGTCAAGGAAGAAGAGGTAAAATCGGTTTTAGATCAGTAATCAAAATTTTCTGCTGTCTTTGTTAGCAACACAGAATATATTAATTCAAGAAACTGCTTTCTTTTATTCCCAGGGGTGGTAGTGGTAGGGCAATTAATGATTAAATTGCAATGAACCCAGAATTTGTAGGGTAATGAAATGAGTAGTACAAGAGATGATAGTATGAAGAAGGCATAAGAAGGCAGGGGTCCACACTGAAAAAAATATCTCTTTGTGGTTTCAGTGATACTAAAATCTCTGATAGATAATTGTTTATCTGTTTTGTCTAGAGTTTGCCCTGAGTTTAAATATTTTAAATTAGAAACAAGCAAACTAAATGGAACATTTCTAGTGAAAAAACTAATATAAAAGTCTGGGTTTATTCAGAATTATAATCTTTTACTCATTTATCCCATTTCACTTATTAGCACATACCTAGATCTTTATAATATAATCTATACTTCAGAATAATAAAAAATGAATCTCTGTAGCATTGAAAAAGTATGATACTTTAGATAGGACTATTTGTTTATCATCTTGCTACCTCTTTATACTTATAATGGTAGATCTCAGTTCACGTCTATGTTCTTTTCAAATTGGTCCAATTATATTGCAAGATCTATTAGGTTTTTTTTCTTTTCAAGACATCTTTGTGTTTCAAGTGTGTCAACAACATATACTGCTGGTAATTAAAAGCCATGAGTTCCAATTCCAGTTAGAAATCGTATCATTGGTCTTTATGGCACACAAAATACTGGTTTAAAGATGGGAAAATATCACTTTGTCTATCCCAGTCGATGTTGTTTTTAAAGCATATTTTTAAAGTCATAAAAATAAGCTAGGGCTGGGGATGTGGCTCAAGCGGTAGCGCGCTCGCCTGGCATGCGTGCGGCCCAGGTTCGATCCTCAGCACCACATACCAACAAAGATGTTGTGTCCGCCGAGAACTAAAAAATAAATATTAAAAAATTCTCTCTCTCTCTCACTCTCCTCTCTCACTCTCTCTTAAAAAAAAATAAGCTAAATCCCAGTACTAGCTAGCACTTTTTCTATCATATTGACTTTGAATAAGTATTATGGGATGTACATTTACAAATGCCTAATTAGGACTAGAATAAGAAACTTGACGGTAAAATTGTTTATTGTAAAGCTCCTAGCATAACCATTACCAATTAAATTAGAAGAGCATTTTTTTTCATTGAAGAAAGGGAGGAAGAAGGAAGTGGGGAAGACACAGAATTAGGAGACTTGGAACCTGGGTCCCATTTCTGACTTTATCAGTATCTTGTAATGGGAAAAATAAGCAAATCAACAACTGCTCTGGAGCTGTTATTTCCTCATTTGTGAAATGAAGAGTTTGACCTACTTGGTTTTTGTAGATCCTGTGAGAAGATGATTAAAGCTTACTCAAAGAGTCTTTTGTCAATAATGGAATGGTATGAAAAAGCAGTCTTTAGCCTATTCATGATAAGCAATGCTTGGTATCAAATATTAGCTTTGGGAATTATATTATCTTGACATTCAAATAATAGTGTCATTTTAAGTGTGACCCTCTAAAACATATAATTCAAGAAAGCCATTACCCTCTTTGGATCTACTGGTGCTGTGTGTTGCAGTAAGGGATATATTCCCTATTTCAGCCTGATGGTCCCTAAGACTTGGGCTAATGATATAGGTCTATAGTTGGGTTCCAAAATTATTTTGCAACTGATTTTATTGTACATTGGAAGTGGCTAGACTAAATCTTAACTTTTACTATTACTGATATTCCAACCATGAGAGCCATGGTCAGATGCCCTGGCCCAAGGGGACTATATCCTAACCCTAGAATAAAGAATCACTGACAACCCCCAGTATTAAAGGGATTGGCAGCCACCTATTGTAACAGAAATTCATTTCCAGTAGTGTCCTCATCCACATTAGAATCTCTGGGAGTAAGCAGGGGTGGTAATTGGTTGCTGTCCTTTGGCAAATATGCCATGAATTGAAAAGGATACCATTTTTATATATTGAAAAAAAAGTCAATTATTAATTAAATTTCAATTAATTCATGATATATCATTGTTTGTAAAATGCATATCAATTTCAGATAAGTTAAAATGTGAATAAATGAAGAATAAATGAAATATTATATATATTAGGTTTTGTCATCCACTGATCTGGATACATCTATCAAAATAGCTATACTTTGTTTTTTTACTATTCATGATTATTTATAATTTTGGTAATTTATTTATGGCTTCAATTAATAGTGTACACTGTCAGTTTTACAGTATGATGTACAAAGATAAACTATCAAAAACTGTAAAAATCAGCATTTTCTGTTGGCTATTGTATTATTTTGCATTTCAGTGATATTATAGAATTGTTATTTCCAATTTTTTTTCCTTTTCCTTTTTTGCAAGGAGAGGTTTAGTGCATTATATTTAGGAATATGATGTGTTGGGTGACAGGTTGCCCCCTGTTCTCTGGATTCCTAGCTTACCTTCTCTCAGTGGCTTAGGAGGCTGAGGCAGGAGGATTACAAGGTCAAAGCAAGTCAAGTTGCTGTACTGGGGTTCCATTCAAATCCCAATTTGAGCATGAGGGTTTTATTCTCATCAATTGTACTGACTAGCTG